GATCTGCCTCAGAAAACAAAATGCAGATGTGCCAAGATTTGGCCACAGATCTGTAACAGATCTGCATCAGATTTGACCACAGATCTGTAACAGATCCGCATCAGATTCTGCACAGATTTTGGCAGATGTTCACAGTTCTTTTTAACTCTTTGCAGAAAACCTGCAAATTGTATGAAAAATCTGTAAAGACCGTGGTTTGTACAAATAAAACGTATTGCTTGTTGATCGACGCTTCCCATGGTAATGCAGGCATTAATTAGTCTTTATTTTCAAACGTAAACCTTAACAGTATTGTGAAACAAAACAAAATTACAAAGCGTTTTTGTAGAGAAAGAAAAAAAATTAATAATAACCGGTACATCAACAAGTTCAATGTGAGCTCTTATTCTTTATACATACAGTAGAAAATTTAAACTAGATGCCAACTACCCTTCGGGCAGATTGGAAAGTCGACCGAGTGAAACGTTTCTTAGAAACACTTCAGACACCGTTTGAGGCCCTTTACATACGGTTATAACGTTAGCAGTAAACATTTTGATGCATTCTATCGGTAGTAATCAGAGGTCTGATATTCGACGACTTATGGGGGACAGAACAAAGGACCGTCATGAGTCATCGAATATCAGACCTCTGGTAGTAATGTATGAGTCTATAAATGCTTTATAGAGTCATACATTACTATTAATAGAGCCACGTCTTTTATAAGAACGCCCATGATACATAACACGCTGATATATACAACGATCGTATGATTCATATGATTGTTTACATGCATCATAATGTTTACGTGTATTAACAATATTCTTATTTATGTTCAATAATCTTGGTAAATAACATGCTGATTCATTTTTATCATTGTTATCATAATTGCCTAAATAACATTTATCTAATAATTCCATGAGCCTATACAGAAGTCGTAAGTAGCACGTGATTACTTAATGAGTCACTAAACACTGCTCATACTGAATTTATATGAAGTGTCACGTGATAAATAATTATCTCATAGCAAAGTTAATGAAAATGTGCTGAACTTTTAGAATTCATTACGTAATAATGAAGATATAGATCGAAAAAATAACTTCATATGTTTCATCTGCAACGCTTCCTCTTTCGATCAATCTTTTCTCCGAAGATTTATCATAAGGCTAAGAAAGAGTGGCTGACTAAACGCAGAAAGTGGTCTAGAAGAAAGAACGTAAGAAGAATTTTTCTGGTGAAACAGAATAAGTCGCCTTGAGTTTCACTCAGTCGACTTAATAAACAAATAATGTAAATAAACAAATGTCTGTTCTAATAAGCATTTCGAAGCACATAGTTACCACTGTAGAAGTATACAAGAGAAGGAGTAAACCTGATGTAGAAACAAATGGCACATAACAGAAAAAATGACTAACATAATAAGAAAAAGAGAAGTAGAAAACAAAAATTATCCTATTCTATAAGGATAACATAACAGCTATTGATCACTTTAGATAGTTTTCGCGTTAGAGCACAGAGCAGGAAAAAATGTATTTATGTATATTTGCATAGAAATAGATAATAGTAATAAGTTTAATCAATTAATACAATGAGAAGAAAACAAATATCGGTGTAAAAAACCCGAATTGTGTATACATTATATATATATACGTTCAAGAAATGAAACTTGTTCTATTCTTCTTACATCATGAACTAACATTTATTGAAATCCTAAAAGAATTCCTTCAAGTAGAAACATATACTTAGAATACATTTTTTTACATTAATATTTGTTTTCTTTTTTTATTAATTGTTTAATTGATTAAACTTGTTATTACATATTTCTGTACAAATATACATAAATAATTTCTGTACTGTCAAATGGAATTGGTCTAAAATGGTCAACAACGAATAAACAATTGAGATGAGAAATAATTTCAAAAAGTGTTAATTTAACACAATATTTATCAAAACAACGTAAAATTCTCAAAAAAACCTTTTTGCTTAAAACAATCCAAAACAATTCATTTTTGTTCTAAAAGTGAATTACGCCAAATAATAAAAACAAGTAATACAAATAGGAAAAACTATTATAGTTCATTTTTTTCTGCATATTCTTAATTATTATTTTCATCAACGTTTGTTGTTTGCTGTTGTTGTTGTTGTTCATTTTCTTTATTATCTAATAACCATTGTGAAAATTTACGTTTACCACCACCACTGTTCCACATTGTCATATATGAAATTGCATCTATATAAAATTTTTTCATAACGACTTTGTGTAAATTGTTCAATTTGTCTTGATCTAATGGTACTTTTTTAAGACGACCTTGATATGTTTCTCCAGCGCAGCCATTTACTAATTCTTGTTGTGTGAAAATACGCTTTACACAATTATAAAAATATTTTTGTGCATTGCTTCCGCTGACCATTGATAAATCGATACCGTTTACAATCTAATTAGGCAATAAAACATGATCATTATTTTAAGCAATCGTAAAGTATGAACTTAAAGCAGCTCATCTTCGTTTCGGTATAAAGGGTGGACCCAAATTACTGAAAAAAACTGATAAGTCGCTTTATGTCAATTTGTTTCAGTGATCCTGGTCCACCCTTTAAAGTGTAGAAAAGATTATCGAGATGTTAGGTAAGCCGTTACTTGTGAAAATTGTAATTTTTGGTTAAAATTTTTTTTTTGCTCGTTTTTTCCTGGCAAAAGAACTTTTTCTTAGATCTATCTCTGGAATTTTTTGCGAGCCAAAAACAAATAGAAAGCTAATTCTTTTGTTAAATGCCCTTAGTCTCAAGAATTTACATTTAGATTTATGAATACATATATTTGTGTGTTAAAATGCGACGCGTATTAACATTGGCACAAAAGCTTTAAAATTCAAGCAAGATTTCGTTTGCAAAGGAAAGCGCAGTTTTGTTAACTATGCATGGAATTTTGTTGAATATATCCTTACAGGCAACAGTCTATTGGGTCATGCTTTGACTGAAAGCGCAATACAATTGCACTGAGTTGAATGCAAATTTATTTAAATATGTCATCATTTGCGTAGAAAAAATATTTTTATTCAAAACCAGAGGTCTGATATTCAATGACTCAGACAATTTCCTTTGTTCAATGGGACAGAACAAAGGAATCACCATGACGGTTCTGTGTTCTGTCCCCCATGAGTCATCGAATATCAGATCTCTGTTCAAAACCATATTAGATTTGTCATCTACATTCAAAAATATATGGAATCGTGTGTCAACTGATATGTTTTTTATAAAAGAAAGATTTGGTTAAAAAAATTAACTCTATTTTTACCATTAAGAAAAATTAATTTATTCGATGGAAACTTATTGGTAAAACTGATTTTATTTAATGTTCCATGAAAAGTTAGAAGTAAATATGCAGTTTTAATAACTGTTTTGCAATGTATGACACAATTTTAGACGTTTTATTTAAGGCCAAAAGCGAATGCATTTTTAGGAGAAACTTCTAAAATGATCATTTATTTTTTCAAACGGTTCAATTTTTCAAAAAATCCCGCTGAAGAAAAAAGGTTTCGTTGAATTAACAGTGTATTTATTTTTAACAATAAACTTACGAAACTATTGGGATCATATACATCATTGCCTGAACCAGTAGAATGTCGAACCTACAAAGACAGATAAATTGATTCAGATGGTGTAACACTTTATAGACAAGATACAACATTGTATTTGAATTCACTTACCAAAACAGAAAGTAAATTTTTTATCAGGCGACTTTCTTTTTGTATTGAAAATAATAATCTTCTTGTTATACTTTTTTCTTCTGAAGCCATTTGTTGATTATAATTATCAAAAATCGAATTGGAGTCATTATCATCTCCATGAGAAGGATAAGATGTTGTACGTGGTCTATTACGAGTTGTTGTTGAACCTGTAAAACCAAAGGAATTACGAAATTTATGTATAAGAATTACATTTCTAGATATTGAATTCAGCTAATCGCTTGGTTATTAATTTTAAGTGGACAGACAAAGACAATGCTAGTTAATACTTCTGTTCCATCTATTATATTCGTCAATAATAGGCCGCACAAGAATTTGAAAACTTTACTTACCGAATGTTGGTGAAGTTACATTATCATGATGAGAACGTTGGAAATCAATAAAACGATTTCCATGTTGATCTGAAACAGTTAAATATAAAAGACAGCAAATACACAAGGTAAAGTGAAATTTTATGAATCTTATTTCGATTTGTTTTGCCTATTCTCTGCCATAAAGCTTGCTTAGAAGACATACAAAGACACAGACAAGCAAGTTCAAGAAATCTTTTTAGAACTTCTAGCAATGACCAATAAGGAAATTATGGCTTTGTTGATTTTAAGTTTTGTTGTTACTATTACTTTCTTGTAGTTGGTCATTCTGACTTCTGTCCAGTTCTCACAAACATTTTCTAAATATATCTCGAAGTGATAGCTTCAACTTACTAGCATCTATTGTTGTTGGGTGTTGTCTTGGTTGTTGTTGTGATGAATTAAGTAATAAACGATTATTTGTATTGTTCTGTTGATAATATGTATCATCAAGCAAATGATGAGATGTATTATGTTCAATTGATGTTGATTGTATTTGTTGATGCTGTTTAGGATTATTATTTCGTCGTCCATTAACATTCAATTCTTTATTAATTTCATCATCATCGTCATCATCATCATCATCATCACTAACAAAGAGACGTCTTTTTCGATGATGATTTTGATTTTTCACTGAAAACAATAATGCGCAAGTATATAAAATTTCCATTGTCATTAAGAAAAATTCATTCTTTTCATTGTTAGTGGCAAACATACGTGGAAAATGATTAAAACAAATGAATACAATGTCGCATTCTACATACGTTCACTGATTTTCTCAATTTCTTCTTTTAAGTGCTTTAGTTGAACAAAAACTTTGATAAACTGGATAGTATTGCTATTTAGTTTTGGTGCATCACTCTGCTGTTTTTACAAAAGTTTGTTTTTGATACTTTCTCTGTGCCACACTCTTAGTTTTAATGAAAAATTACCTATTGTTGATGCTTGACGTCGTCATTGTACTGGAGTAGTTGATAAACCACTATTCACGTTATTTTCATGAATTGTAATATCACATAATTGAAGACGATTGGTGGCTTCGATTTCATTTAAAGCTGTTAATGCTATGTGTATATTTTTATCTGTATTTTGTTGTTTTCCTTCAGTATCACGATCATCACAATAACTTTCATTAACAAAACAACGACGTTTTGGACCTATAAATATAAATTAAATTTTTATGAAAAGATAAGCACTAATACGTTATATGTCTTAGTTGTGTCCACCCTCTCTTCTCAAGGGTGGTAGCCGGGGTAAGAGGGGATTAACAGCTCGGATCACTCTCTGGTCACACTACATATTGCAAAAAGGAATGATATTTCTTAACCTATGATATTTGTATTTACCTTGATTATTTTCTGTATCTGTTATATCACCACTACTATGTATTCCTTTTTTTCACATTCTTTTTTACTACCTATAACATAAAAAGATACAATTTGAGTATTTATATTAACAGAAAACAGCAGCACTAATGACTACACTGTTACCTGTTGCTACCAAAATTCCCTCATATTCTTTTCCATAATGTTTTACCAATACTTTATTACAAGAAATGCCATTGTGGATACACTTTTGTGGATTCCACAATTGTATGTTGTGTCTCATTTGGAAATATCACTAAAGAGAATTCTTGACCATAACGATAAACGGATGTTAATGTGAAGTCAAGATCTTTAAATCGACTATTTTCATAACGTTGTCTTTTACTACGTAACATATTAAATATAACTAATCTATTTATAATCGTTTTATCTGAAAAACAATCGTAGGAAAATTGAGGTAACAATAAGCACATTGAGCAAACATAATGAAGAACCGAATTAAGAAACAAAGTAAATACTAATTGTTGTTTAAATTATTATTTCCCCTCCTCACCCTTATCTAAAGGTTTTGAAATGTCTCAGTTTCTAATAAAATAGAATTTTTAAGTCCTAAGTGGAGAACATGTGATCATATGCAGCACAGAAATCATGTAGATAAAAACAACAAACATGAATATAACAAGTGTATTTTACAAAAATTATTTTTTCTTGAAGGAAATTTTCATTAAGCTGCAAAGCTGTTTCTGAAAACTTGAAAATAATGATGGTTTTTTATACTCGATAGTCAAGAGAAGCGAAAATCTTTGATTGACTTTTGAGTAGAATCAGCTTTTTAACACCAAGCAGGACAACAATGGCTGGACACAATGAATTTAAAAACAAACAAACAACAACAGTGACTTGTTTTATTTAATTTACTAAAAATGAACAAATATAATCTAGCTTCTAATCAATCTGTTACTTTTAAAAAAGAACAAGAAAAGAAAATGTTGATTTACAATTAATCGTGTTCAAATGTTNAGCGAAAATCTTTGATTGACTTTTGAGTAGAATCAGCTTTTTAACACTAAGCAGGACAACAATGGCTGGACACAATGAATTTAAAAACAAACAAACAACAACAGTGACTTGTTTTATTTAATTTACTAAAAATGAACAAATATAATCTAGCTTCTAATCAATCTGTTACTTTTAAAAAAGAACAAGAAAAGAAAATGTTGATTTACAATTAATCGTGTTCAAATGTTTACATGTATCACAATGTTTATGTGTATTAACAATATTCTTATTTATGTTCAATAATCTTGGTAAATAACATGCTGATTCATTTTTATCATTGTCATCATAATTGCCTAAATAACATTTATCTAATAATTCCATTTCATGATGGTAAATAATTTGTGATATTAAGTCTCTGACGCCATGTGCATCTTTCTGATAAAACTGCATTGTATTTTCCATAGAAAAACAAGACGATGCACTTGATGAACCATATCGATCAAAGTCTTTAGAATAATGTCTGTGTACGTGTAATGATAAACCAGTTAATTTTGTTGTATAATGTTCATTTATTGTATTTATATATAATGCATCTCAATCGATCGTATTGTAAAAAGTACCTAGAACAAGATAAAGAATGAATGTTCTGATTTCTTGTGCTTTCCATGATGAAATAATTTGTATAGATCTTGGTTTACGATGGAAGTCATCTGGATAATGTACATTTAATATAAAGGAATCTACTTTATTCTTGTCATTAACTGGTAATTTCAAATCAATTATCATTCGTCGTGCATGTCTTCATAGTGATGAATGTATATAATCGTATTGTAAACGATTCAATAAATTACCTAAAATATAAGACACGAAATATGACTTATTTTTACTTTTATTTTATGATGATCAATTCGAAAGGTTATTAAAAAAATAACTATCTTTTTGAAGCTTCATTTATTAATCGTTTTGAGCGATCTATTTTATAGTAGATTCTTATTATTCTTGACTTACGTGTAAAAAGTGTTTAAAAAACTAACTGTTCAAATACACCATTATGTGCACGACGATGTAAAGTGTTCATACTTCTTCGTTCTGCTTCAAGAACATCACTGTAATAATCATTATTTGTTCTTTCCTTTATATCATCACAAATATACAATACTATACCTAAACAACAAAAAGAAATGTGAGACAATAGCTTCCTAATGCTGCAATAATTGATTTTCTTAGACGAAATGTTGAGGCAGCATTGTGTAGTATTTTAATCAACCCTGACTTTATTGGACTTTCTGGGTAAAGAAAACCAAAATGACATTAGAAAGTCCAGTCGAGTTCATTGTGACATTTCAACAAGTGTTCTATGTTGAAAGTAATGAAACTGATTCAAACCTTGGTCTTTATCATATACACCAGGTACTAAACAAACGAAACATGCATTGTAACCACCATGCCGGATGAAATTAGCCATATCAGCTAATGCAGGTAAATCACCAGTTATAAATAAATATTCTAATGGAAAAAATGATACTAATGTATGATCATCTGGATTAACTAATTTAACAACTTTTGTATTCCATAGTTTATACACCATATGTTGAACAAATACATTGAAATTATCTTTTTTGCTGCCAGACCAGATGCCTAGTAACAAAAAACCAACAGCTATTTATTTTTCTAGACTAATTGTTCTATTTTCTTAATTTCTTTCATTTACCTAATAATATAATGTTGTCTTTTTTTACACGTAAATGAGGTGGCAAATCAATAAAAAAAGCAATGTCAAAAAGGTTTTGACAACAATCAAAACAGTCGTAGGACAATATCTCTCGAATATATAGCATTGGCGCGTTTACTCACTCAAGAAAAAAAAGATTTTGTCTTCCACCTGATTTTGCCTCGTCCCTACTACGGCACATTTTGCAAATCATTATAAAATAACGCATTATAACAACACGCATAAACTGCAAAAATCTGCAGATTTTCTGCAAAGAAACTTCAAAGAAACTGTGCAGATGCTGCAAAGATTTGTTCACAGATCTGCATCAGATCTTTGGCCGAATCTTGGCACATCTGCAATGCAGAAAAAATGCAGATTGCAGAATCTTTGTAGTTTCTGCAAAGATTTTTGCAGATCAAGTTTTTTTGGGATCGTCTCTATATGAGTTTCCTCGGTGTAATATCGCTTTGTTGTTGGGGACTTACAGGATGTAGCGAAGATCAGTTCGGCCCTGTTTGACGCACAGAGGATAGCGGCATAATTCCAGAGCACCTCATTCACAGGATGCTAGATTAGCTCTCCGCTCTAGCAACAAACTGTTCATAGCGTTAGTATTTCTCGAATACACATACTCTGTAAGTACAAATGTGTGTTTGTTGTATGTGATGTTTCATCACATACAACAAACGTTTCCTTACGGTAAAGCCCATAGGCGAACAATACGATATCAATCTATTTCACGTATATTTTGAGATCTAATTCCAGTCGCATGGCGCACCAGAATTGAAAAATATAGATGAATACTGTTAGATCAACGATTGATGAAGCATTCACTTGCGAATTTGATTTTTCAAAATACCTTCTAACTTAGCCATACTTCAAAAAAACATTTAGTTCAACTTTGTAACAATAGAAAAGGCGAAAGGACTTCTTCACTTTCTTGCAGATACGAGGTCATCCACATAATGAATGACATACTGTTCTGAAATAACTGTGTACTTGTTGAGTGCATCATGTTCCGAAGAGTAAGCCGGTAAAACATGGTGCACTTAAGTGCCAAACTGGATGCTGAAAAAGTACCCTTCCACCCTGAAATACAAACATCTGATATTTTAGGTGATATCTTGATTTGTGCATCTATAGTACTGTCAAAAATTATAAGTCCAGCCGATATGTTGAAGTTTTTGACTTTCTGGCATGTTCTGAACTGCATCCTCGAACAAGCTTCAACATGAAATATATATTTCATATTATGCCGTCAAAATTCCCTAAAGTTGCTTTATTTTCATTTTAAAAAAGATTGTATTAAAAAACAGCGACTTTTCATGTGAAAAATTAAAAGACTATTAAATGTTTTGGTTAGTGTTCTTAGCCAAAACGGTCACTTATGTTTCAAATAATCATGTACAAGCACAAGACCATAAAAATATATCATTTGCATTGACTATAAATGGTGAATTTTGAATTGATCTTTGTGCTCGTTAGGATTTAGCCAATTTCCCAGCTATCAGTAATACCACCTACAGATCTATGCTTTGTGCCTAGAGACGTTAAAAAACAATCTGGCTGTGAGGTTCTAGTCACTCACTTCTCATCTTTATTTGCATAAAGTGAACGGCTATATATAGTACAAGAAAGAAGCAACAGTTGTGAAAGAGTTGCGCTTCATGGTGGTCGTACTGCTCATTCAACACTAAAGCTGCCTCTCAACCTTACACATTGTGAAGCTATTGGAGTACTACAGTGCAGAGGTCTTTTGCTAAATTTCTGTTGGTTGATAGGGTAAACAAATAAATATGTTATTCTTTCAAGCGCCATTTTGTTTGAGATTGTTCTTGCATATATAAGAATAAAATACTTGCACTACAGAACATTGAAAATTTTGAAAGTGAAATTCAAACATTGTGTTTGAATGTATGGTTGCTCATGCACTTTCAACAGCTCTGGTACTGTAGAGCTTGCACTGCAGTGATACAGTAGAAAAAAATGAAAATATAAAGTTTAAGATTTTTTTTCAAATTTCCAAATCTGTTAATGAAGACTCTGATTGTTGCGTTTTAAATTAATCATTTCAGAATTCTTGAAATATCTTGACAAGATCTGTTCAAAATTTATAACGACAGATTCTGATACAAATCTTGTGAAAACTCTGCAGCATTACTTCCCGTTCAGAATCTTGATTTCGATAAACTGCACAAGTTTTTGAAAGATCTGGGACAAAATTTGAGAAATCTTTAAAGATTTATCAAGATCAGTGTTCAAGAAATTTCGGTGATAAAATTTAAAATCGTTAGTTTTGGTCATTCAGCTTCTTATAAATTTTATCATGAATGGCATGTCTTTAAGCTTCGAAGGGCATATTCGGAAAGCACATAGAAACCTACATCAACTAATTTGGCGCAAATATGGATCGACAACAAGATCAGATAGTAGTGAGTTCGATGATAATAAACCCGATTCTTCAGTTGATAGAGGGAGACTTATATGATGAGCAAGTAGTCAGAACTGAAGTAACCTTGAAAGTGTACTGCTCAGAAAACAGTTTACAAGGTTTCGTCAGGTAGTTTTCCTCTTCGGTCCGAGAGATTTTCTTAACGGACTAGCTCTTTATCGATTTACTTTCATTCGCTGGCAAGAGGTAAACTCGACGCTCAAGTACAAAAAGAAGAACACCAACTATAGAAACGTGCAAAAAAAGTTTGGTGCCCGAGGGCAGGTTCGAACTACCGGTTTCTGCATTACTTAACTGTTACTGTTTATAAGTACAGCACTCTAACCAACTGAGTTCCACGGGCCCACTGACATTTGGATCTTTCACCGCATCAATACCTAAGTTTCATGGAATACAAACTAACAGCAAAAGTGGTGCTCGAGGGCACATCAAATACATAAAGGAATTGCAAGAAAATTCAAAATTAATTTTACGTTCTCTGTTCATAAAATAACTTTGACAGATGATTATGATCAAGAATAATAAGCGTGTAAAACTAGAAAACCTGATCAACAACAGCCGAAACCGATTTCAATAAATTTCGCTACCTGAAGATTTTAAGAGGCCGTCTGTCAGATAGCCCGGTCAAATTTGTTCCAAAATAGATAAAACCAGGCTTTCTAGAAAACCCCAAGTTTTGACATCGTAACTGCACAGAATAACTATTTTGCAAAAAACCTTTATTTCTAGAAACATGTCGAGTCGATCATCTATCATCCAGCAGAAAACTATTTAGGCTATATTCTGAAAATAAGTCGAAGCTGTAGCTCAAAGTTTCGACTTTCAGTTGAAAATTTAAAAAATAAGATTTCAGCTTTTCAGAAGAAATAGTAAGCTTTAGGGAGCAGGTATAAGTCTGGTGTCCGCACCGTTCGATAGAACACAAAAAACAGAACAGACGTACAGGGGTGCCAAACTCTGGTCTGACATCTAAAAGAATCTCTTGGAGAATTTCTACTAAATCTCAAGAAACTAAATTATTATGAAATCGTCTTGGGATTGCCAACAGAATAGCTCATCCAGTTTCGAACAAAACAACCCTAGTCGACCGATCTTACGGCAATTCTATAGAAATATTACTTATAGATATATTACTTTAATAATACTACAACTTTATTCTGTAATATTGAGATCTCTATATGCCAAAAAATTAAAGAGAGCTTTTCTAGAAAATAGGATAGTATTGAGTACGAGTTGTGTACTACAAACTGCCAGAAAAGCTGGGGAAGGGTACTGTCAAATTTGTTAATGTTTTAATCTCGGAAGTTGCTAGAATAAACACTAATTTCATAGTGAAGAGAATCTTTCTTTTGGGTAAAACGATAAAATTTGTTCTTTTCTCTATTTTTTGCTTTTTATCTGTGTCTCTATAGTATGTATAGAAAGAAGAAAACATCAAAGTTTCATCTAACTGAACTAGTGCGTGGATTTTATCGACATGAATGTTTCGTTATACAATTAAGAATATAACGGTAATGGATGAGTGGTTATTGTTCATCATTTGGCACTCTTATTCAGTGAATCAATAGCTCTGTTTCAAGAAGATACCGACTATGGATAATAGCAGCCTTTTAACCATTTGTATTTCTGTCTTACATACATTATCTCTGACTACCATGGCCCGAAGAGAAAGCCGGAAAGGCAT